ATTATTATTATTATTATTATTAATATTAACCACTATTTACAGACTAAAAGACACTTTGTAACTTTAGAATATAAAATTCATTGTATGTAACCTTTTGGCATAAAATCACCATTTTGGTATATTAAAAGAACAATATATTCAAAATATAATTGCTGTTGTTGCTAGCTGCCTTCAAGTTGACTTCAACCCATGGCAACCCCATGAATAAGATACCTCCAGGTTACCCTATCCTCAGCAGCCTGCTCAAGTCTACAGACTCATGGCTATATCTTCCCAGATTGAAGCTATCCATCTAGAGCAGGGGTAGGCAACCTTTCCCCTTTAAGGGCCGAGGGACTTCAGCTCCCAGAATCCCAGGAGCTATTGGCCAACATGGGACTATTGGCCAACATGGCTGAGGCTTCTGGGGACTCGGCCCTTAAAGGGGAAAGGTTGCCTACCCCTGATCTAGAGTGTGGTCTTCCTCTCTCTCTACTGCTCTCCACCTTACCAAGCATTGTCATCTTTTCTAGTAAGTTCTGTCTTCTCATTATATGGCCAAAGTACCACAGCCTCAGACCACAGTATCTGCAGAACTCTTCTCCAGCACCACATCTCAAATGAATCGCTTTTTTTCTCCTGTCAGCTTTCTTCACTGTCCAGCTTTCACACACATACATAGAGAAGTGAAATACGATGGTATGTGCTAATTCTAGCATGTAGTGATATATCTTTACATTTCAGTATCTTATCTAGTTCCTTCATAGGTGCGCTTCCAAAACCTAATCTTCTTCTGATTTTACGATTACAGTCTTTACTCTGATTAATGATTGAGCCAAGGTATGAACAATCTTGAACTATTTCAGTGTCTTCGTCATACTACTAACGGAAAATACAAAAGACTTGGAACAATTATTGTGGAAAGTCAAGGAAGAAAGTACAAAGACATATGTACAGTTGAATATTAAAAAAAATAGCTGGCCATTTAGATTTAGATAATGTTTAAGCAGACGATGAAGAATATAATTACTTTTAAAGAATTTATTTATTTATTTATTTATTGCTTCAAATGAAAGTAAAGGTCTTTGGGTTTGTGAATCTGAGGGGCAGGCTAAATACCCCAATAAAAACAGAAAAAAATAGCAACATTAGTAAAACATTAGTAAAACAGATAAAATTGTGTTGTCTACGTAATGTTTCTATAGGA